TTGTTATATTTTATCATTATAGAGTACTATAGTGTACGTCACGATACCATGATACTAATCCATTGCTATCGTTGCAAAATGCGTTCAACCCGATGCCATTTTCGCCACTAACAAACCATTGATCCCAATTTCTAACGTAATTATTAAGATGTTGTATCTTACTTTTTCTTTGTTAATTTTAATTGATGATTAAATGTGTGTTTGATAACTAATATAATGCGAGCTTTTCGTTTTTAGTACATTTTGATGGTAACATATTAGATTTAAAAATGCCTATTCCAGAAAGCCTATGAAGTCATTAAGGCGTAATGAATGGTGACCTACGTCTGTTGACAACAGAGAGCACCCCCCTGGCGTTGTGATGACACAACTGTAGTACTCTATAGTGAGTACACTTGTCCTTAAGCCATACTGTACCTGGCTATTGTAAACACACTACTTCTTCAGGTCAGTATATGCTGGATCTACTGACATGTACGTGTGTGGCTCTTCATAAGCTGAATTATCTTTCCTCTGTGATTCCATCTTAGGCAGTGCTGCATCATCATCAGCAATAGTCGGCAGGGTGATTTCGTACTCTGTATCACCCGGCGCATTTGTCTTTTTTGGTACTTCATAATCAGTCATGTTCATCCCTGTGGAATGCTCCATTTTCCTGTTCTTCTGAGAATAATAGAACCTAATGTGAACAAAAAATATGTTTAACTTCAACTTCATTATAAATAACAATCATAAAAACAGCATTTTCAATTGTGTCGCAGCAAATAAAAAACAAGTTGCATGATAGAATCAAGGCCAGATAAACATAGAGGATTTTGGGTCGCCAGCCCCAGGCCCACAGGCACCAATGGGGAAAAATAGATCCCCTAACCCCAGGAAAAATCACAAAAAATCTGGTTTTATTTTATTACTGTAACCACAGAGTATTTAGACCAACTTGCCACAGGCCCCACAGCCCTTTAATTTGGCCCTGGACAGAATGCAAAAAGATTTTATAATAACTCCAACACAAGATCATGGAAATAATTTACAATAAAAAAAAAGTTGATTTTCTTACCTAAAAAAGTTGAGGTCTGTAACATTTTTAAAACATTTTTTTTAAATTGATACTTTTTAGTTTACAAAAGCGACAGAACAATGTGTAGACCTTCATTTTAATTCCTTTTTTTATATTTAATTTGCTATGGTATAAACTGAAAAAGTGAATATCAATTTCCTAAAGGTAAAACATGTATAATCAAATAGATTAGATAATTAATATTCACTCTCACTGAATGAAGGTATACTTGGTTAAAATATACAATCCGAGAAGAAAAATTATACAAAGGTTTGCATGATAAAAGAGTAGAGAAATCAAAATAGGAATGAAAGCGTAATTCTGGTATTTGCTCTCAATAATTTGATAAATATTATATAACTGGCTCTTGCAAAATCAGCCGTTTGTAGAAAATTGAGTTTTTGGTGTTTTTAGATTCTGTATGAAGTTTTCTTTAAAGCAGTGTGTATTTGATAGAAATTGGTTGAGTATTAGCGAAGTTATGAATATTTAATTCATTGAATATAAGCCATGTAGGTTTGAGAAAAAAGCTATTTTAAAAATAGTTTTAATATACTTTTCAGTTAGATTTAGTTTGATATTTTGCATAAATGTTTTTCAATATATTTTCTTTTATAAAATACAAAAAGATGCAATTTTCAAAATTCTGATTCTCAAACATTTTGAATGCTTGTGGGAAATTAGAAATTGTGACAAACGGAGGGTTTTGCAAGAGTTGGTCACATATTCTTATGTTAAGGAAATTTAAATAATTTAAAAATTGCTTTACTATAAAGTGTGTATTGTACTATGAAATGTTTAGTATACATAAAGAAATTTAAACAGCAAAAGTAACCTGCAGTCTTTCTACAACAAAATAGAAGCAACTGATTTTTTCATAAAATTAATAGCCAAATACTAAACCAATTTTAAAATAGTAAATATATACAGTATGAGCAACAGGGTATCTATCTTAGTAATAGGACCTTTAAGTAGTCACTGTAAACATAATTGGCATCAGGCAGTTGCTTTCATCATTCCAGCATGTGGTTGGTAGGCAGATGAATTAATCCACTGGTGAACAACAGCTAGCAGCAACTAAATCGAGTTAGGAGAATACTGCTAATTAATTCTATAAAGACTTTTTTATGCAGCCCTTTAAAGATTAACCATAAAAGTATCCTTATAGAGAAAGATATCACTACACGGATAAGGTTAAAAGAGAACATTAGTATGGCATGGTGTGTTTACGGTGCTAAAGCACTGACAGTATTAAACTTATCAATAGGGACCAACATGTCTTCATACAGACGAAGAGGTTATTGAATACTACAATTAAGTAAAGGAAACTATGAATATCAACAAGAAATATGGTGATGTTGTAGTGATAATAAATGACTTCAATGCAAAAGTAGGAGATGAGAAAATTGAAGATGTAGTGGAGATGAACATAAACTTGCTGTCATAATAAACATATAGTGTATAAGAAGGGTGTAACTAAAACTTGGATAGGTCTAGATGAAAATGTAAAAACCAAATTTATTACATTTTTAGTAACTTCTGGAATAAAGAATAGGTGCTGGAATGTTGGTTGTAAGAGCTGGATGATGTAAGAAGAATGAAGCCTTTGAAATGTGGTGCTTCAAAAGAATTCTAAAAGTTAGTTGAACAAACACAAAATCAAGAAATTGAGTGGGAGTAGACAAGAAACTGTTGAAAGGAAACTAAAATTAGACATAAATTAGACACTCAAGTGTCAAAATGTGCATAAACACCATTAAAGGTTATATTGTGATGACAGAGGAGGGCAAGGTTCACCAACATCACAAAATAGATAGAGTAAACAGTCAGAAGACAACAAAAAGGCAAAGAGAGGACAAATGAAGGTATAGACAATGGTCATCAATATTCAGCTGCTGAAGTTTAAGATAAGTGCATACAGTATTTATAGAATGTTAAATATAACATTTGAATAGCTACAGCAGATTATCCATTTGCATGTTAAGAAAGTAAATATAATTGAAAAAATATATACATGAAACACTTTTACATTAGGATATTTGTAAAAAAAAAGTTTTATTCAGTATTTCTAATTTAGGTATTAGTTATTAGCATAGCAGATAATCTATTATAATGAATTTATAATTTCTTCTAATTAATTATTAGTGGTAATTTATTGGATGTTACTGTAAATTTTTATTTTTTTAAAATTTTTTTTTTGCATTTCTCTGACGTTTAAATTTTATAACTGTTTTTAAATATTTTGCAAATAACATTCAATTTTGCCTTTGGCCACCCCATATGTTATCATTTAATTAACATGAGAGATTTTGAAAAAATAAAGTGATAATAAAAAAATAAATTAGCATAACATTAGAAACAATAGAAAAGCAGTTTTTAACTAAAAAGCTAAAGCATGAATATATCAAAACACCTGCAAAAGAAGATTAATGCTGGAGACATCAGCAGGATGATTAAACAAAGAATTACTACTACCGCTATCAGGTAACCAGGTATTGATGATGAATTACAATTACCTTAAAAACGTAAATAAAAATACATCCTTTATAATAATTTCAAAAATGTGTCTGGATTTATATATTTTGAGAAATGAGCAAATGTATTAAAATTCATTTTGCATTATTACATAATAATATGAACTTAATTTTTAGTGGGTTCACAACAAGAAATTAACAGAAGTGGTGTCTACAAGTATAAGGGCATACTTTGTAAAAGGTTAACCGACTGGTATTGGTAATTTAAAAAAAACATTAAAAATCATACCAATTATTTCACAGGCGACACTTCACATAATTGACACATAATGATAATAAATGTCACTTTGTATTTAAATGTGGCATAAAAAATCTGATTAGACTTTTAATTCTTATTTATTTCTCAGATTTATATGCACAAAAGCAAGACTCAGTTTTTTTTAAATCACATGGAACCAACCATAAACACTGAGTAAACGCATTCCCTTCCTGGAGAGTATTTCTAATTTATGCTAGTAGTTCAACCAAGGACTTATAACTGTTACCAGGATAGGAAGCTTGAATTAGCCTTATGTGTGGTATTGTTATGCTAATGAGGCAGATAAGCACAATCTGCACAGGCTCAGAAAAACAAAAGTTTCCTTTGCACACTGCGGCCTGCACTGCGTATCGGCTAGGCGTACAGCTAGGCCTGCCAAGGAAAAGGCGTATTAAAATAAAAAATTGGCGTTTGTGAACAATACATTTTAATTATATACAAGTACCTGTAAGTAGTAAGTATAAGAATATAGTTTTAATGCACTACTTAGTTGATAACTTCATTCTAATTTGTTTTGGGTCTTTTTTCTGCATTTTTATAAGCAGTTAGACATGGCCTAGGCTAGCCTATGTGAAGATGTTCATTGTAATACTACAAAACAAAATCACATCAATTTAAAATCAAATTTGTGAACATTCTTGTCTTATATCTTAACTAGCAGATGATTTTATTGTTTTTAAGTGTGTAAGTATGAATGATTTGCATGCCAAGTGAAATTAGTACCTAAGCTTATTTGGCTTTGTTTTACCGTACCATAATTCTCGGCTAGGACTAGCTTTACGCCAAGCCGATACGCATTGCGGGCTGCAGAGTGGCTAAGGAAAGTTTTGTTTTTCTGAGCATGTGCTTATCTGGCTCATAAGGATAACAATACCACACATAAGGCTAATTCCAGTTAGACGGCTTAAACCAGCCAGCTTCCTATCCTGGTAACAGTTATAAGTCCTTGGTTGAACTACTAGCATAAATTAGAAATACAGTACTCTCCAGGAAGGGAATGCATTTACTCAGTGTTTATGGTTGGTTCCATGTGATTTTTAAAAAAAACTGAGTCTTGCTATTGTGCATATAAATCTGAAAATAAATCAGAAATAAAAGTCTAATCAGATTTTTTATGCCACATAATACAAAGTGAAATTTATTATCATTATGTATCAATTATGTGAAGTGTCGCCTGTGAAATAATTGGTATGATTTTTAATGTTTCTTTTTAAATTACCAATACCAGTCGGTTAACCTTGTGCTTATCTGGTATGCCCTTGTAGACACCACTTTTGTTAATTTCTTGTTGTGAACCCACTAAAAATTAAGTCCTTGGTTCAACATTTAATCAAGTTTCATTTCAAATTGTTAACTGCCAAAATAATTACTAAAACATTTTACTATATGTGAGTGTATATAACATTAGCTATTTTCATCCTCATTTTAAAGGCCAAAACACTTTTTGAAGTGGCTTTTAAAATTAGACTAGATTTAAACAAGTATTAAAATGTACAGCATGTGCACGGCAAGCTGCTACAAAGACGGCTTCAGTCACTGCTACAAAACCTACACAGAGTTGGTTTTTCTGATAAAAGTAAACATTCTACAGAATCAATATTATTAAAAATGGATTATTTCACATTATTACCTAGCATTTTAAACTCATTATTTATTCAGTTTCTACCACTGACATGTTGTTTAATACAGCGTTCCGCAAACTTTTTACTTCACGGCCTATTTACGATTTAATACATCAAGCCGCAGCCCAGCAGCCCAGCCGCGCCAGGGACCAACATACCAAATCCTGGCAAAAACTTTTTATCATGAAGCCTCCATACAATATTTTGACATCATTATCTGTTCTCTCAGTGATAAAATTTCATTGTATACAAATTAAATAATATTATATTAATTAAATAATACTGTACATTTGTGTCCTCCACACCCACAATTTTTTTTTTTTCCTACAATGATTCAACCAAACACAGTTCAGCCACACACGTCATAGCTTTCTCCTTCTTCCAAAAACTTTTACGCACACTCTGTTACTCCGCAAATTTGAAAGACTACCGTACTAATAATACAGGTATTATGTTTAGTAATAAAGTATCCACATGGGCATTCGGTTATCAAGAAATATGTGATGTTGTTTACTGTAGTGATCTTTCTAAGACAGGTCTTATATTTATTTCTATCTTTAGCTCATGACTCATCCCATCATTCCTCCATACCGGATTTACTGGATCTTACAGGGTTAATACTAGACGATAACATAGTGTCTAGCTGCCGAGGGGGCATAGACAAAAAAACCGCTTATAACTCAAATATCACGCATCACCTGGCACTTTAGCGGCATGTGCAAGTGATGCATTCGCTTTCTTAAAAACTCTGTCCATGATGAAATGTCTCTTTGTTAGTTTTTTTTCTATTTCCAGACGGCTTCACGGCCCTCCAAAAATGTTTCGTGGCCCCCGCGGACCATAGTTTGTGGAACATCGGTTTAATAGTATAAACATATTTGAGCATGAAATTAATAAATGTTTTAAGTAAAGTGCTTAATACTGTTTTTTTATGTATTCCATTGTGTAAGCGGTCGGCTTTCAGTTGTCGAGTGAATTAAAACAAAATATAATGGAGAAATATTATTTTGAAATTATATTAAGGAAGAGATAATAGTATACTGTAACTTACCAACAACACCGACAACAAACATACAACTGCCTTCATTTTTAGCAGCATCAGTAGCAGAACAAGTAACATTTGTAGCTGCACCAGCATTAAATGAAGAACCAGGAGATGGAGTACATGTAGCTGACAGACCAGTATCAACATTGTCACTGACTGTTGGGTCATTCCAGGTCACTGTAGCTTGACTCATTTCTGTACTCATGACAAGGTTTTCAGGGCATGTCACACTAGGATTTAAATTATCTTCTGTAAATAGTTTGGAAAAATATGTCATTAAAATACAATTTCAATAAACTTCTTCATATTGACAGAAAAATGTATTAAAAAGACTGACAAACTAACATGTAAGCCAGACACAAACTGCATCTGATGGCTGGAAAACACTTTCATGGAGACTGCAACGTAACAAGATGCGCCCAAAGGACTCCACGACGGTCCACACACAGTGTTGCGCTCTCAAGTGCTTAAACAGAGCACAGTTTGATTCGTTGGCCAGCCATCAGCAACTGACTGCCAAAGCAGTTGTGCCTAAGCTTTAGGCTACTTTATGTGCTTTTATTTACTTGTGCACCATTTTCACTGAATTTGAATGAAAATTCCGGAGAACCTGGCAACTACCACTAGTGGAGTCCCAGGGACCTTGGCATTTCGCTCTATGTAGTTACCAGTGTTTACTGTGCTCTGTGACTGGTGCACGACTTTGTTATTGTAGAGCCCTATGCTATTCTTTGAAAACAAAATGCCAAAAAAAATAAAATAAAATAAAAAAAATAAGCACATAAAACCCTGGTGTTTTTTTGGTGGTCAAACTACTCAAAAGATTTGTGTGGAAAAAACGAAATTTGATCAGCCTAGGCTGCTGGATGTCCGCTCAGTAAAACGTTGCAAGACGTTGGTGACGCTATTTCATAGACCCAATAAAATGGTGTATAGAAATCTTCAATATTGAAAAGTTACCATGCTTTTACTAACATCAAAATTATAAACATAACACAAACCAAATACTGTATTTTAAAAACCACGACAAGTGTAAACTATCAAACTATTAAAGACTTTAACACATACATTAACTGTAAACATACAGCTACCTGTATTAAGAGCTGAATCAGTAGCAGAACAAGTGACATCAATTAAACCAAGACTAAACGATGAACCAGAAGATGGAGTAGAGGCTGATAGACCAGTATCAACATTGTTAGTAACTGGTGGGTCATCCCAGGTCACTGTAGCTTGGCTTGAGGACGTACTCATGGCAACGTTACTGGGGCATGTCAGACTAGGATTTACATTGTCTTCTGTACGGCAGCGGAACGTTGAAAATTGGGGGGGGGGCCATTTCAGAAGGTACAGTATGAGAGCGAAGTGAGCATCTAGACTGGGGGACAGAGGGCCCGCCAAGGGCCCCCAGTGGGGGGCTACGGATATTTGACAAAGTTATTTTATAGGCATCAAGCTACTGTAATATGATTTCATATTTGTTGTAATTTCCAGTGGTGGATCCAGGAATTCGAAATAGAAGGGCCCAGTGAGGGTACCATACTTTCACAGATAGAAGATCTATACTAACTCAGCTCCACCATGGTTTAGCCTCCCTCTCCCCCTTGAACGCGCCACAGATTTACCAACAAAGTCGAAGTCCAGATTGCTTCCATGACCTCAATGAATTATTTATCACGAGGGTTATCCTTGATATAGGTTTAACGACAAAAACTTCACTTTTCACCCAATGGATAAAAATTACCCTTCTATGTAGCCCGGATATGATAATCTAACTGTGGCGGGTCCAGGAAGTCGAAATAGAGGGGTTCCAAGGTCTTGCGCAAATAGAATGTCCACCCGCTTAGCCCCACACTGCCACAGCCCCACAACTTTTGTGGGGCCGTAAAAAAATAATTATAATCATGGCACCTCTAGATGGCCGGAAATGGCACTCTCAGATTAAAAGTTGAATACAATATGGTCTGTTTTCTCCATTTTTTTAAATAATTTTGAAAAAAATAGGAGGATGGGGTCTTATAACAATTGTCATAGTCTATCATTTTGTTTCACAAATGTTTAATTCCTAATGTCAAGCGAAATGTTTTTTTCTTTACTCAATACAGTCTTTACAACCTCTAACACATTAACTGCATTGTACTATAAATTTTGTACTGTAGTTAACCTTCAGAGAACTTTATTTTTAAAAATGGCCTAATTAAAGTATCCTATTTTTTTCGTCAAATTAGATGGAGTTTAAATGTGGTTATATTACGCTAGTTTAAAGGTTACATTTACTAAACATCTTCGTGGTTAGCATAAAGAGAACTAGAACGTCACTCAATTAAGAGTGCCTACCTCCCCCTGAACCATATGCCTAAATACAGAATTCACAAATGCAGGCGATTTTTTCTTCATGCTCGAGGGTGCGTTTCAAGGAAACTTTACAGAAGCATGTATACAGACGTCAGTAAAAATTTTGTTGCTCAACTCAAAAAAGAAACTTGTAATGTTCATTAGAAAATGAAAAAAAAATCTATATATTATAATAATAATAATAGTAGGTCAATTTATAAGGTGCAAATAAACAAGGTGTAAGCACCAAATAATAATAATAATAATAATAATAGCCTAAATTGTTGTCAATCAAAAATGGTACGAACATGAACTAGAGAATGATGAATGTAAAGTATTATGGGATTGTACGATACAGACTGATCATGTAATAGATGCAAGAAGACCAGATATGATTGTAGTTGAAAAGAAAATTAAACGTTGCCAAATCATAGATTTTGCAATAATGTACAATAGTCGCATTGAAGAGAAAGATGGAGAAAATGAGTAAGTATCAGGATTTAGCAAGAGAACTGAGGAAATTATGGAAAATTAAAACAGTGGTCATTCCTGTTGTAATTGGGACATTTGGAACAGTTACAAAGAAATGGAACAAATTGGTATAGATACCAGAACAGATGAACTTCAGAAAAGTGTGATTCTGAACATGGCAAGGATCCTCAGGAAGGTCCTAGAAGTTTGAGGAGACTTGTTGTCACCAAGCTTTAGAAATAATGAAATTCCATTGGATATTGATCCAATGTGGGATACCAATAATAATAGCCTATAATAATAATAATGACTATTGCAACGTTCGTAAAATGTTTGTCACTGGTGCTGGGAACAGCCACAAAAGTGGGATATCGGTATTAAAAAAAATATGTCATAAAAAATGCAATAAATGCCGGAAAAATATACTGTTGGAGAACAAAGACTGATATACTAAACATGTATAGATTAAAAGTTTCCCATGCGAATAAAATAGACGAACGGTACTAGGTAAAGACAGCTTGGTTTCTTGCCTCAAACAAGGTATCCATTCGTAGAAGTCTTATGAATATAAGCCTATCCAAGTGAACATAAATGGGTCGGGGACCAGGACATACCTTTCACTTTAGATTGAAATATGTTAAATGCAGACACACACGCAAGTAGAATAAATCAAAACTTAACGAAAATATGAAAGAAGCATAGGAAGACAGAAGAATAGGAAAGAAATTTGGAGCGGCTGAAATATTTACTGAAAATAATCAAATAATCATTTTGTTATTATTGCATCACATTTTTGTGAAAATTTGTTGGCACTAATCGTCAGAGGTCAAGGTAACGGCAGACTACATATTTCATATATTCGACACTGCTGGCTTTGAGCACTGGTCAGATCTTGTCCAATGAAATTACACACTTAACTCGCTTTAAGGTAAGACATTCTTATATTTCACAATATTTTTATTATTTCTGTTGTCTATCATAAGCTATACTCTCTTCATATAAAGAAATCTTGGAAATCATGTAAGGTCGAGTGTTCGATGTTTGTCGATTTCGCTAAAGCATTCGACACCATTCCATGAGAGGACCTTTTTCTTCTCCTGGTCAGATACAGGATCCCTTCAAAGTTTATATCACTTCCAGCCAATTCCATGATGGCATGTTTGCCGAGTTCTGCATAGGCGGCAAGAAATCAGATGTATTCCGGGTTGCGCAAGGTGTGAAACAAGGTTGCCCGTTAGCACCCATACTTTCTACAGTTTTCTTGTCCGCAGTTTTAGAGCTCACCAACCAACATCTTGTGGAATTGGTCTACATCTGCACTAGGGTAGGCAAAGTCTTCAACTTGGCTCGACTAAAGGCCAAATCCAAAGTCCACACTATTCTTGTTCGCGAGCTGTTCTATACTGATGACACCGCCTTTGTTGCACATAACCACAATGACTAGCAGAAGATTTTTGATATATTCACTCATGTTGCCAGTGACCTAGGGCTCTCTATAAATGCTTCAAATTCTCAAGTTGTTTTCACTGCTTCAACATCACTCAAGGACATACCTTCAGTTCTGATCAACAACACCCCACTGTCTATGGTTGACACTTTCACTTACCTAGGGAGTTCTATAGCGGCCGACAGCAGCATCGACTTTGAGATTAATGCCCAAGTTAAGGCAGCTTGTGCAACTTTTTCGTGTCTGCACCATTGCCTCTAGCCACAAAGAAACATCCATCGCTTGACGAAATGCAAGAAAATTTATGATTATGGCACCTCTAGATGGCCGGAAATGGCACTCTTCGATTCAAAATTTGAGTAAAATTTTCTTTTTTTCTCATTTTTTTAAAATTTTGAAATATTTAGATGGGACCCAGGCCGGCTGGGCCACCTTTGAATCCGCTACTCTAAATGATATTTTTTATCACTATTTAACATTTTTTCACCCTACTTTTTTGTGCTTATTGAATATAAAGATGTTTTGATGTTGAATACATTACAATAATGTCCATAATTTTGCATGATGCAGGGATGTAGTTATGGAGGACGGAGGTGGGCAGGGGCCAGCCAACCTTGAAGTTTTCCACCAAGTCTAAAGCTAATTTCATGGTCCTCAACCCACCCTTATTCCATCCTTAAAATCCAATCTTATTATTTTGAGTTTACTCAATGTTATCACCCACCCATCCTTAAAATGTTTATCACCCATTTTTAGTTTTCTAGCTACAACCTTGATGATGCGATAAAATATTTGGAGAAAATTTTCCATATATTGGGAGAAATTATACTTGCTGCAGAAACATGGCCTTGGAGACTTACCAATGATACGAACTGTAAACATACAGCTACCTGTATTAAAAGCTGAATCAGTAGCAAAACAAGTGACATCATTTGAACCAAGACTAAATGATGAATTAGAAGATGAAGTACAAGTAGCTGACAAACCAGTATCAACATTGTCACTGACTGTTGGGTCATTCCAGGTCACTGTAGCTTGGCTTGAGGATGTACTCATGGAAATATCCTCAGGACATGCTAAATTGGGACTCTCATTGTCTAGAACATAAAAAAACAAACAAATTCAAAAATTTATGTTAATATTTCTTCAAATATTCAAATTAATTCTTGTCAATGATTCAAACCCCTTAAATTACTATTTAATTGAACTGAATTGAATTGAATTTATAATTTACATTAATATTTATTTATTAGGAAAAACTACAGCAGCATGAATAGATTAAATATAATGAATAAAATTGATATGGTATGAACAATAGGCCTACCATTAAAAAAAAAATCCCATAATGTGAAGGGTTAAAATTAAGAAGATTATTTTACACGAATAACCACACTCAGTGGACTTATAATATAAATTCTAAAGGCAGGCACACTGCATCTGACAGTTGTCGGCAAACACAATTCCACAGAGAACAAAATTGAATGAATTGTGCGCAATTTTTTTAATGATGATCTACTGAAACTGCCACCAACTATCAGCTGATATATGAAGCGCTCACAGAGAGTGGACATGGATTCACCTGCCAACAGCCATACAATAATTGTATGGAGCAGCGTGTGGCCAGCTTAATGATCAAGACAAAAAAGCCAATAATAGTGTCCCTTTTTACTCCAGGTTTAAAAATATGATTATATAATCAATTCAAAAAGTGTCCCCGTTGCCTTAATGGGGCGGGGAAGGGGGTTTGGCCATAGTGTTAAAAGATATACTTCATTTCACAAAAAAAGTGTCCTTTGAATAGGGGCTCTACTCTATCTGAATATTACAAATGGTTTCATAAATGAGCAAAACTTACCATGGACTAAAACAGTAATTGTGCAGGAACCAACATTGCCATTACTGTCAGTTGCAGTACACATAGCAGTATTGGTACCAAGTGAAAATGATGAACCAGAAGGTGGAGTACAAGTAGCTGTCAAGCCAGTGTCAATATCATCAGTTACTGTTGGCTGACGCCAAGTTGCAGTTGCTGTTGATTGGCCTGGAGATGTACCTTGTAAAATATCACTATCAATACAGGTCACAACTGGGCCTTCTGGTACAGGCACTGTTGGTAAAAAAAAAAAAAGCATTTATAGTATAGAGATAAACAGACATTTTGGAATCACTACCATATTGTTGTTATTATACTCACAGTATATCATTATATGGCATCTAGGAAATATACAGTATGCTAAAAGAAATAATAGTGACCATCTTGAGAGAAAATATGAAAATGTGTCTCAATTCATCCCCAATTCAATATTTTTTTTGGTACAAACTTTAGACAAAGGTGGAAACCATTTTTATCATAGAAACAATCCTAGACTAGTTGATAACAGTTGACATACAAAAATAAACTGAAATTTAAATTAAACAGAATGCCATTTACTTTTAAAGTAACCTGTAACTTTGGACAAAATACTGTCTAATAGGAATTTAATCAGGTTTATTTTTTATTGGTAACCTGGTCGTAACAAATTTTCAAAATTTTTAGACATTAAGGCGAGACTTTTTTATTCCTTGTTTCGCATAATTATTTTTCTGATCATCAGAGAAGGGCGGAATAAAAATAAAAATAAAATTTTGTTTTCTTATTTAGAAAATGGTTTATCCAAAAACATCCAGACGGAGGATAAACTAAAAATAATTTTTTATTTCATTGGTGAACATAAAATAGAATGTTACATGTTTCAAATTTATATAATTAGGAAGAAATATACATATCTTATCTTTGGAGATTTCAAGGCAGCAGAGGTCATAATAAAAATAAAGAAAAAACTTTTTTGTTTTTCTGAAGTTTCCATTTTTTCGTGGCAGTGGGTGCGCTAATTGGCCAAAAATAAAATTTATTTTTATTCGAAATCATCAATATTTGCAGTCGGCGGGTTCGCTAAACAAGGTATAAAAAAAGTTTTTCCTAATGGGTCATTCTCATTATTGGGTCAACCTCAGGCTGCAGTATGTAGCTATGTCATCAGGTCATCCATGTCACATTGGGATTGAAATCTGCTTGTTGTGACCAATCCAATTGGTCAGTTGTCTGAATTAGTTCAGGGGAGCTGGACTGAACACCACTACAGTAGTAAGTTCCAGTATTCAATTTATTCATTACTTTAACATTATCAAATACACAAACCCAAAACATAAGAAATAATATTAAAAACATGGATAGTCATATACAGCTAATGAATATGGTAATATAAATGAAAAAATATTAAGAGACATTTAGACATTAATTATAAATATAAATGTCTAAAATTCTATAAAACCTTGGATAGTCTAGAGCAATAAACATGAAGATATAAAACTTCACAATAATACAAAATGTTTCAAATCATCAATAAATAACAGACAAATCAATATAATTTACCTTCAACATTGACAGCAAACATGCAACTGCCTACATTATTAGCAGCATCAGCAGCAGAACAAGTAACAGAATTTGAACCAACATCAAATGAGTAACCAGAAGGTGGAATACAAGTAGCTGACAGACCAATATTAACATTGTCACTGACTGCTGGGTGACCCCAGGTCACTGTAGCTTGATTTGAAGCTGCAGCAATCTCTGTAATGTCATCAGGGCAGGTTACACTTGGAAGTTCATTATCTAGTAAAACAGTTATTAAAAGCTGATTACTCTGTATTCAAATAGTAATTGAAATTTTTTTTACAAAATTGTTTTCATTAATTTAGTTTCCGATATTTTTTTTTTTTTTTTTTTGTAATTGGTTGATTATAGTTAGTCACTAGTGTTCTCTTATTTACATACAAGGTTATGATTAGATAGTGAAGATCATATTTTTACATGTTTGTCAGGATTAATTTAAACTATACTGAGGGCAGCTGCCAATTAAATTTGCTCCCTATAAAAGACTTGTTATTTTGTTTTTAAATACAATAATAATAATATGCAATTATAGTCATGTTATGAGGACACTATAGGAAACAGAAGCCTAAGGAACTGTAGCGTCTCTACTATTTGTATTTAAACCGCAATATTCAATTTGTATAATCTTTCATATTTCATTTGTAAACCTTACTCTATGTATACACTGTATTATTACTATATTCAGCTTAAGTTCAACTAAGGACAGCAACCTGTTTCCTTATGTTACCAGGAACTTAGTTAGATGACAAATAAGTCAGTAATGTACCATGGTAAACTTATTCCACTTTTATTAACTAAAACAATGACATCATGTAATCATCCTTAATTCATATTGATCAAGTATTACATCATCTTTTGAATCATCCCAAATATAATAAGGAGTGCTACCCCAATATAACACAGTATTCCTATTGCTATACACTTTTTCACATTGTTCTCATTCGGATTACTACCTCAACTGTACTTTGCAATATTTTATTTGGTTTGATTTCATCGATAGCCAAGGTTTGATTTCATCAATACCCAAGTGTTTTTGTAGCTTACAATAAGCATTTTTTCACTGGAAATAAATTATATTACATCTATTAATGTTGGTTTGTTGTATTCTTCCCGTTGCGCCATACAACAACTAAAGAACCATTATTTACTGAAAAAATTGCACGAAGCCCGCAGGGCTTAAAGGCAATTTTTGAAGGAGTGGAGTTGAATAGCTTGGAGGTTAAAATGTTTGCTGTCTAATCACAGGGCCCTGGGGTCAATTCCTGTCATGGTAACATGATTTTTTCTCACAACCAAAACAACTTCACTCCATAAGCCTCAAAGACACTGGTCTATGTAAAGCATCATGTGTTTATGTCATATGAACTGATTGCCACCTATCTAATATAACAGTGATTAAGTCGCTATTGGTAATCCTTGGCCTGAAGGAATAAAATAAAATAAATAAATAAAAAAATTGTTAAGTAAATAATGGCTCTGAAGGACTTCTATTTTGTATGAGTACGAAATTACTTGACTATAATTGCTTTATAAGTCAGTTGTTGTCACCTTTTCTATGGCCCTTTAATCAAACTGCTAGTTGTAGATTGGATGCTATAATCATAACAAACTGCTGGTTGCAGTGACCGGTTGCTCAGTGATCAATACATTATACTGTGTGTATGCATTAGCAGTGCGTATTAGAATGATTTGTTAGAACGCAGACTGACACCCTTCGCGCAGCTCTTAGTAATACAAGATGATGAATAAATTGATTGTGGTTAATGAAGTTTTTTTGGGTTATTAGGTTGGCCCAACCTCATGGTAGACATTTGTTTAATAAATTAAAATGTATTGTAAACATTATAATTAATTACAGTAATTTAGTGTTGTTTTATTTTTTCAGTACTGTGTCTTCAATCACCTTATTATTCCATAACCATAATGCGGAGGCCTTACTAAGCCTTGCCTAGGACAGTTTTGCCTTCATTCCTGTTAACCTGCGCCATAGAGTGAGACTTGTTACAGTAGGTTCGTTGTGTGCCTTCAAAGCTTGGAATAGTAACGAAATATAATTCACGATGTAAAATCACCCCAGCTTTGAGCTTTTTGCAAACGAGATGCAAAAAACTGGAGGCATTATCGAATTAGTGATCAGTCGGGTATAGGCAAATTCATGTCATCGAGTTTATACTTCCTCAAGATAATTTCCACTTTGACACATAGAGCCTGCCATTATATAACTAGACACTAGAACAATTAATTGCCTTCAAGTCTAGTTCACTTTTCATGACTACTGTACAAAACAATTTACTTTCCAATATATGCTTACTTTTCCATAATATCATACATGCTGGACCCTGGGGCATTGCAGTTAGTGGATTCGAATAGCAGCTCTGACAGTCGCCCAGAGGTTCACATGGTTTTTGGTGGCAGGAAAAAGTAACTGTTTGCAGGCGTGCCCCAAAATCTAGAGCCTTTGTATTTAACAGATTTACAGTATAGAGTATTTGTAAAATAAATGACATTTTTTATTACACTTAACATTTTTTTTTTACCCTAATGGTCTGGTTCTCTACAAAGGTATGGGTTACCATCAGATAACCATCTGGTGATGACCCATTAATTAAGAGTTTAAATATTGAATCCCAGCACGATGGCATGTATTTCTTTATTTGGAGTTTGTATTATTCTCATCTAAAACTAATCAGTGAACCTTTTGGTTTTTGGAAAATACTGACTAGAAAAAAGCAGTTCGCCAGTGTTGACACACTGTGATTTGATTAGGCGCCCTCTATGGGCGGTCTCTCGATACTCCATCTTGGATTGATCGGACCGTTGTTTTGTTGGCTGTAATAAAGCTTTGTTGTACACTACTGCTCTCTTATACACATCTAGATGTGTATAAGAGACAGGTACTTTGCAATATTTTATTTGTTTGA